GACAACATCAAAATATCGATACTATCGAGATTCGTTATTTAAATCGATTTAGTAAACATTTTTTAAATAGCAGTATTTCTAAAATGGAATTAAATATAAATATTGATTCTCTAATACTTTGGCACATCAAAAGCAATGTTATTTTCCTCTTTAAATTAATTAATGGACACATCAATTATCCTACCCTCCTTAGTAAAATTAATTTCCTAGTTCCTGCCCATCTTGTTCATACTCACATTTATTTCCATTCAGCGAATTATAAATGCAGATTTTTTTTGCAGCGCACATAGATTTCTTTGGCAATTCGTGTCCTGGGTTTGACAAGGTTCTAACTAAGAAATTTGAGTAAATTTAGTTTACAATCATAATTCACTCACAAAAAAGTTATCTATGTTTCAAACGAATGAATTTAAGTGGAGGTCCTACGGTTATAAGTTTATAATCTACGCGCGCACTTCAACTCTATCACGCACTACACACAACATGAGAACAGGCAAGATTAGTATAATTTTTTTTTCTAGATTCATATAGAATTCCTAGAGCTTTCAGAAAACGATAGTGTAAATTTTTATTTTTAAATTAAAATATCATAGGGATGATATCGATTTTTTGATTATATAGAAGTAGATGCCATCGGTGGTAAAATATTTAATATCCCAAGAAAAATATCGATAAATATATATATTATTTACTATCGATGGTCATACCTAATCTAGCTCCACCCATCCATACAATCCTCCTCGAAGATTGAAGAGACCTTTCGTAAATAAGCATGTATTAGAGTTCTAGCAATGGCCCGATTCTCTAGCCGTATAGCTGTTATTCAATTTAATTTACCATACATAAAGTTTGAATGAACCCACAGTATACATATTACTAATGTCCTTAATTGTGACAATATGTAAAATAAACCCATAAAGAAATGTTTTTATTTATTTATTTATTTAGAAATATAATAATCTGTCACGTGGACAATAATTATAGAGATATATAAACACATTCGCACCAAAAGAAATGTAATAAATAAATAAATAATTGACTACAGTACAGTTCTACATAGGCATTGATCTCTGTAGGACGCACAGTGGGGTCAGTCACCAATCAAGGAGGAGAAAAAAACTTTAAAATATGCTCTATGTAATAAAGCATCCTTTCTTGTAGAAAGTTGGTGACTTAAAAAGAACACTAAAAAGTTCATTTAAAGTCTCACAGACTTTAATATTTATAAAAAATCTAATATTAAAAAATAATTAAATAAATTAAAAAAAAAAAATAACAGCATAATGGCTTGAATTCTGCCTGACTACTTTAATGTGACCAGAAGACCATTCTGTACTTACAAATAAAAAAAGTAAGTTTAATTGGCAAAATAATTTTTTTTAAAAATTCTATTGCAAAAATAGTTTGAAATCTTGGAATTATATTAATAAGCTTTTAATCAATATGAGCTAAGATTCAAAAGAAATACAAAAATAAATGACAGTATATCCAAGTATGTATGCATTGTATATATGTATAAGTGTATGTATGTATATGTATATATTTATATATATTAATATATGTATATTGTATATATACTATTGTACTATTATTGTATTCTCACTATTATTGTATTATTGGGTGTATATATTGTGTATGTACGATTACACTATTATTGTATTTCGATTATACTATTATGTTCTTCGAACATACTACTATTACTATATCATCATTATTATTATTTGTCGCTCATTTATAATTTCATAGCGTATTGTGTATAGCAACTATTTTGCAGTATTAGGACCTTATTTCTCATATTATGGCTTCCTATATCTGTACAGTTATGTAATTACTTCTTTTATCCCTTATTTTTTAGTTGTTTTTTTTTGTTTGTTTGTTTGTTTTTGTTTATTGTAATATACAATTTGGCCAGATGTAATGTTTAATTTTATGTACAATATTGTTATTCTCAAGGGACGTAGTCCCAGAATAAAGTTGATTCTTCTATCTATCTATCTATCTATCTATATCATTAGGAGATACCAACATTGAACATCAAGTCCCCAATAATCTATTTCTCTAAATATATGAACAGTTAGGATTAGAATGGTGGATCAGGTTCAGGTGTAAATTTAAGAATCGGGATGGAATAACGTCAAGGACATAAGGGATTTAAAGGTCATGATGTAGGGTTTTGTTTGCAACATAATAAGGAGCATTGACTATTATACGGAGGAATTTAGACTAAAAAGATAGGATGCGTTTCATGTTCGAAAATGTAGTTGTCCCGATGGGTTTGAATATGGTCTTGTATATTGATAGTTTTTTTTTTCTATTGAGTGATTGGATTTCCTGTTAAGTAGTCTGTGTAGCTGGCCAAATCGTCGGTTATGTTCTTGTCTTTTAAGTCTGGTATGCGGGTGAAAATAATTAACAGAAAATACCTAACATTTCTCTTAACTCCATTCCAATATAAATATTTTCTTATCGTTTTAAGCTTGAAATTGTATATATATATTTTTTTAAATAAACGCAACCTAGTCGAAACATATGAAACGTCAAAATTCATGAAATATATATCGGAAATTAATGAGAAAAAAAAGCTTTTGGCTATATTATTTTCACCGAAAAAATAAAAAAGAAAGAAAAGTCCGTCATCTCCGATACTGTTTATTTTTAGTTTATCCCTTATTGGAAGAAATGTTTTGGCATCAAATTAATAAATCCGAGAAATTAATACTTTACTTCCATTTAATTTTGGAATATTTTATTTCTTTTTTTTAATCGGCTCCAAACCGCATTCAGAAATATAACCGTTATGGCTGAACTTATTTGGAAATTTCATCCAGATCACGAAAACTGAGTATAAATTTCATCCCAAATTGAGTATAAAAATTAAGGCTTGATGAACAACAATTTATTCATTTATTTTTGGAACGAAGCGATGAATAATTTAAAATTCACATCTAATGTGAAATATTGACAAAAATGTTCATCGATTCATTTAATAAGTTTACAGCTCAGTTCATGTCTAGACTTCAAATTATTGTTAAGAAAATATTTAATTTTTTAAATTTCTATTTATATATGTTGTTTTTCCCCCTCAATCTCCACTGGATTTAGTGCCAGTGACGCGGTTGAGAGAGTAGCGCAGGGATCTCTTGGAGTTCTACAGGTGGATGGGTCCGGAGTTACTTCGGTTGTAAACAGTGAATAAAGGTATTTCTGGGTTTTAAGGGGATATTTTAATATATTCCTGACGACCTTTGGAAGGTCAGAAACGGAACATTTTAACTTATAGTTTTAATGTATAGTTTTCCACTAGTGATCGACATGTAATGACTCTCGGTAGAGCAAATTTGCTGTTTTTTTTTTAATAGTGGTAACAAAATAAAAAAAAAACAAACACACCTAAGATTGAGGTCGAAAATATATTCTCGCAGAAAAATTCGCATCAATTATTTGAACCAGTGCTCGGAGAATGTATCCCGAGGCCGGAGGGCCTAGGTAAATAAATAAGAAACTTTTTTATGGTTAAAAAGCAGGAGGAAAAATGGGAAGCTAGATTGCCATTTTCTGTGGAAAGAGCCGGAAAATGCTCATAAGAGGTGGAATAGGGCAGATTGCGTAGCCTACAGCAGAGCTTATATACAGCTTTTAGTCAGAAAGTTATGGCTTTTCAATTGCTCCCTTCCATATCTTACTCCACTCTTTGCCCTCCGACTGTTTTCCACCACTTTTTTTTTTTCATCTGTTTAAGCTGCAACTGCTGAAAAAAAGGGAAAACTTATTGAGCTTCAACAGTGACTGTATTCAAGTCTCTTGTTTTATCACTTCTCCCCCTCCATTCCACCATTCCATTGTTGGCTTCCGGGGCCGGATTTGATTAAATTTTATCAACATTGTTGGAGGAGAAAAATGCTTTCATTCCATGAGCAATGAAAAGAATTTTCGTTGCTGTAGAACGATGTAATACTCCAGCATTAATTACTAAATAAAGCATTCCCCTCTCTCTCTTTTGAGGTTTTTGACGATTACGGCTTAAAAAATTATCGGTGGCTGTAAATGACTTAATAAATACTAGTACAAATTATCAATAAAAAAGTGTAAGAAAACAATGAACACTAAAGTGAATTTCTACCAATCGATGAATCTTCCTACCCATCCTAGATGAGCCGAGACCCTCCTAAAGCTAAATTGGTTCAGATATATTTCTTATCCTTAGGATGGATGTCAAGAGAATTGCAGGAAGACCAACCATACACTGGGAAAGGGAGAGGCCAAGAAGAAAACCCAGGGTCTACTGGAAAAACGATGCCCGTGAGGCGTTCAGAAAATCAGATATAGATTGAGGTTGGTGGAGAACGTTAGCTTAAGATTGAGACACTTAATCTAGACTCCTCACGTTGCATAGTGGCACTATAGCAGAAAAAATAAGCTAATGCTGGAAGTTTTGGTATAAAAGTTGTCTTAGTGGAATTCCGCCTTTAGAGTGCTTAGACAGTAAGTCCTTACACTTCACCAATCTAACACATACCTCTCTTGTAATTACAGCCTAATTTATTACACAATACAAATTTAATTTATAATTGTAATACTAAGAAATTGAATTAAAGTTACATTTTTTGAAAATAATTAATTTCCTGTTTGCAAAAGCTTTCTTGCTCATATTTTTGAAAAATTCCATACTGCTCATGTTTTAATTTCAGGAACCGTATTAATGAGTACTGAATGAACTGTATTCATGGAGTACGCGATATTAGCATGTAGAATGTTAATTTATGGTAATCAACTCCCCTTTCATGGGGTTATCATGAAAGGAAAAAGTGAAAATATGAATTCAGTGGGATTTTCAGAGCCTGGGATGTAGTAGATAGAATCCGAGAAATGTTTTCAGTTGATTTCATATTGTTTGATTCTTTTCTGAAGATCCTACTGTTAACCCATCGATTGAGACATTTTATACATTTTGTAGTAATTGCTACATGCAAGATGAAAAAAAATATATATGGACGATTTCCTGACTTCTTCTGTTGATCAGTCTTCCATTACCCTTCTTGGGTCTCGGTCCTCATGCATCCTGCACACATGCCCATCTTAGCTGTCGTCTCTGGAAAGTGGTCTTCATGTATGGCCAACTGCTCTCTTATGGTCTCATTTCTGATGCAATCCCTTTTTGTTTTACCTGCCACTCTATGGCACCGCATTTCTATGGCAATCAAACGGTCTGACGTCTATACATTATAATATATCATAAGTGACCGACAAAAAAGGTCATGAAAAATCGTTTAACTAGATAAGAAACGAGTTAAGCCGATACGTTAATAGAAGAATGTCTGATATGGTAGATTTAAGTTTTGACGGTTTCAGAGATGGCATTCATTTTTTTTTTTTTTTTTTTTTTTTTGTATTTTTGGTTCCTCCCCTTCTTCTCCTTTAAGCCTATACGGGGTTTCCCCGAGCCAGGGGTGAGGGCGGGGATTTAAAGGACTCCGGACAAGAACACCTGATCTCTAGCCAAATTAGAAAAGTTTCTACAGCAATTTTAAATCTTATTTTTAGTCCATTAATGAGTTCTTTACCGCTGCCTCATTAAAAAAGGAATATATTTATCACAGTAAAATTTCATATTTTTTCAAGTTTCTACAAGTAGAACAAACGTTCCGAATTTGAAGAAAATCTGAGATTGTTAGGTTCGAACCTCGTATTGAAGTAACTCATATTTATAAAAGCACCCCTTAAATATTGTTTATAATTCACTATATAAGAACCTCAGGAACAAACTAAGAGAAGACTGTTTTTCCTCACAGACAATTATATTTCCTTACGTAAGAAAGTATACTTAAAATGAATTTATATTGCCACATCGAAATTATTAGGTTTCTGAGAAAGAATTATTAACTATACATTTACATTTACCAACTCTTGGATTGTAACATGAATTTTAATCAAAGGATAAATTATTATTCGAGCGGTTTAACATCTTAAACTTATAAATAAATACCTAACAGAGTGGAAATATTAAAGTTTTAAATTGTATCGTATAATATATAATTAAGTTAAAACGTTTATACAATTATAAGGTACGAAGTTAGGAGCTACTTTAAATAGCTTAACACTTCGGAGTTTTAGCTCTTCGATATTCAGTTCAAACTTCGAAACAAGGGAACATGCTTTTTATACAATTGTATTTCAAACTGAATAACTGTTATAGCAAGTACTGAAGTAAGCAACGGCTAGAAAATATCATGAAAAAACTAACTAATATTTAATTTTATTTAATTTAGGGTGAACGCATCAGTCATGGACAGGTTGAAATTTAAATGTAAATAATTGAGTTCTACCAATGGGTAGTTTCTCTTCATGTTGTACATGTCATGTTACCAATGTCACATTTACTTATTGTATTTTCCATGTAATACAGATGTAAATCTCAATAAAATAAAATTTAAAAAATGTAAATGATTATATTCCTTGTTGATTTAAAGGTACCAGATTTTTCTAGATTGAAGAACAACCCCCTCAATTGACAGCTGTATGAACAAAGTTCCCAAAAGAAAATTTTAAAATGCCTGTCATCGTTGTTTCTATATTGCTCTTGAAAGCAATGTGTTTCAAAGCTTCCTAATTTTTTCGCTAAGAGTAAGTTGATCATTTATGTTAACTTATCTTTATCGTTATCTTAATAATTTAATAAAAATTTAGAATTTTTTAGAGGTATGTCCATTACTGGTACCAACCCCCTGTCCATTACTAGAATAATTAAAGTTCGGGGTGTCCATCACTAGTGCAAAAAGGTGTGTTTTTTTATACCTGCTAACTTAATATTTTTTTTTCATTTTAAAGGGATAAATAGAAAAAAGAGATCTTAAGAGATTATAAATGTCCAACGGAGAAGTTTATAACTATGATAATTATGGAGGCGTAAGAAAAAAAAAGACAAAAATTTCCTTAGCTATGTCTACCACTGGTGCGCTTACCCTAATTCGAAATGGGAAAAGTTAATTATCAATATAAGAATATTTTTTTTTTATAAAATTCAAAATAAAGTATTTTTTAAAAAAAATGCAACTTAAATATATATATATATATATATATATATATATATATATATATATATATATATATATATATATATTTAAAACTTTTATTATGATATTTACAACTGTATTAGAATGAACACATCAAATAAATGTTTACAGAGGAATATAATCAAATGAAACACGCTTGTTGAGAAATTACCCATTGGTAGCACTCTATTAAAATATTTAAACCAGTAGTTAGGGTTAGAATATTTTGAATATGGTAAATTAAAAATAATTATATAAATAGTAAAGGAAGATAAACTTTCATAGTTTTGAAAAGTCGAGGTTTCTTGTAGGTTGTAGAAGTTTTAGTTTATAACTAGAAATAATTATTAAGATTATTGTTTATAAAAAAATAGAAGGTGGGTTAATTTATTAAAAACTGTTTTAAAATATTTCGGCTTAAAATAAGTAGTTTTTAAAATTTATACTTTCAAGATTAGATTATAATTTTTAAAAACATTAATCACTCTGTTATTTCTTTTTTTGATGATTGTTAGAATTTCTAGTAAAATTTAGAGTTCATCACGGGACGTCGGTTATGGCTGGACTTTGTCTGGGTTTGATCCACGCCACGTAGAGGTAAAATAATTGAAATCATACATAGGCCAAAACGTATGATTATCTTCAGTTCTCCCTTAGGTAAACTATATCTCCATTTGAATGTGATAAAATCTAAAGGTTTAGATATATAGTGCTTGAGAATGGATTACTGATATCATAAAAAGAACTTTCGACAAAAAAAGTATATTCGTATAATAATAATAACCTTGATAATTTACTGATATAATCAAGAAAAATGTCTACAAATCTCGAATTAGGGGTGTACAATGCTTTGATGAAGACAGTTCTAATGTAAATTAACCAGCAACCCAAAGTGTATACCAAGAATACAATTGACACACACTCATATATATATATATATATATATATGAGTGTTTGTATGATTAATAACTGTATATGATATAATAAAGTGGATATTGTAGGAAGAATGACTACAATCTATACATTATTCGGTTAATTTTTTAAGCGAGAGAGGAACTTTTCAATCTAAATTATCAGCCTCGGCGGGTTAAAATGGGATATTGTTCTTTATGCAAAATGAATACACCGGAAGTTACATTTCATTTTATATCGGTGTGCCCAATAACAAAAAAATTAAGAGTAACGTTTTCAGAAAAATAACAACTAACTAAATTTTGTCAAAAACATCCACTGACTACAGATGTGAATTAAAGAGAGAATTTAATTTAAAATAAAATTGATTTATATGTATGTTCATGTATATCTGTGAATTATGTGTGAGTGTATTTATATAAATATTTAGAAAGACTTTTTAGTTAAATTGTATGTTCAATTTTATGTTAATTGTGTAGGTAATATTAAAATTATGAATTTCTCGTATTAAAACTGTGAATTTTTAAAATATAAGATACATCTATGTATAAACTAACTGAAAATCCAGACAAACGAGCATAATTTCATTCTTGATAGTTCGTTTAGTGGTATTAAAAATATTATTAGGTATCTTATATGTTAAATAAACGTTCCCATCTATCTATCACTAACCAGCATCCTAAAAGAAGTATTTAATTTTTTTCAGGCCACGGTGTCCAAATGGATTATAACTATGTTATAGAGTAGTTGATACTTCCATCTGGTCTAATTTATCTATCAATCTCCTGTTTGTATATTAGATGTATTTTTTATAACTACTCTATAATGTAAGATAATTAAAAAAAAAAACATTCAAAGTTGTGGTATCCATTTGGGCACCGTGGCGTGAAAAGGGTCAAATATTTAAGAGATTTTAAAAATCCTCTGCATAATAACCGTAACAATCTGGGCTGAGAGCACTAACCCATGGAGGAGAAGGATGAAAACAGAAACTGACCAATCAATACCTCATGACAAAAAGGCAAGGAGGTTAAGAAGGGCCTTTACCTCGGAGCTATCCATTCGGACGTCTATACACATCAATAGTACGAAGAGAACATATGGAAGGCCAAAAACCAGATGAATGCATTTAGCAGATAGGTTAAGACTATCAAAGTTCTTCAAGTCAATTCTATAAGGCCCAAAAAAAAAAAAATAAATAAATAAATGAATAAACACAACTTATTATGAAGAATAAAATTCAAAATAATAAAAAATATACAGTCAAATTTGATTATTCAACGTCTGAATCCACATCCACATAAAACAAAATTGAAAATTATAATTAAACAGCAGACAATTAATTAAAGGGATCAATAACCACATTGACTTATTTCTCAATATTTTCTACCATTTTCTATGTATTTTTTAGAATCATTTTATTGAGAAATAATACGATCTGTCTCAAAGGACATTTATAATAGAGTTTAGAAAAGCATATTCACCCACTATGTGCAATGAATAAAAATAAATTAAACAGCAAAATAATATAACTAAAGCTAAATGCATATAAACAAAAAAATAAAAATAATCTAATAAAAAAAAACAACTTAAATACAAACATACTTTTATGAAATATTAAAAAAAATTCATCCCCTAAGGGAAGTTCCTAGCTCAGTTTTTTCTCCCCACTCGTGGAACGAAAGCAGTACTCTAGGAGATCCCGCCTTTCACTCAACCGCATTACTGGTATTAAAAACAAGTAGCTAAGTAAAGCACCATTACTTACGAAAAATTTCAAGCATAATTTCTAATCTTTAAGTAATTCAAGACTGGTGGACAAACTGTTTAAAAATACCTCGATTAATTTTTTGTGGGCTCAAATCAAATGCATTCAGTTAAGACATCATTTGCACTTGTATACTATCATTTTTATTCGTTTTTCTTTTTTCTGGGAAGTTATATAATATTCTTTGTTATTTGGCAATGATTACTTCCAATTAACAACAATTGAATTAATTTGTTGTGTTATCAAATTGCATGTTTACTAGTTAACGTTTCGGGATATTTACTCCCATCTTCAGAACCACAAGATCATTGGGATACATGGCTAAAAAAAATTGCGTTAAAATATAGTGCATGTTACAATACATGTGAGAATTGGGTAGTTACATTAAATTTGTAATTACCTTAAATCTAATGTGCACCATCGTCAGGTTCTAATTCAAGTTATAATAAATCAAGGTATATAACATCCAGAGCAACATCTTGCTTTTAGACTGATTATTGGGTGTCTGCCATAGTGAATACAATTGGATATGACTGTTTATTTTTATACTATTGTTGTTAATGTTTATTTCTTATGTTGTTAATGGGAAGTAATCATTTGTATTTTCAAACTAAGTTGTAGACAACAATAAAATGGCCACGCTTGCTGGAAATTTAAGTTTTTAAGATTGGAAGCTATTTTGCTGGGTTTTGGAAGGAAGTTCCCACACTATCCCATTAGGGTTTTGCGTTATCTTTAATCGTGTCGAATAGAATCGAAACCGAAACCACCATGGACAGGACGCTCGCCCTTCGAGAAGCTTAAGCTAGGCGCGGTTGGGATTGACGAGGTTAATGGAGAGGGGAGGTGACAAATGGGACAGAAGGAAGCCACGGGGCGCCCATCTCAATAAAGACGTTGTGGGTTTTTCTGTCGGGCGGCACAATATGGTTAAAACAATTTCACCTTTGTCCGGGATGAAAAATGCTGTGTCCCAGGTGCAGGCGTCAGTGGGGGGGCGTCCAAGGAAAAAAAAATTAATGATCGATTCTCGCCGGTGATAAATATTCGTTCGAGCTATTAAATTTGTAGTTTATTCTTAATGGGGAATAGATTGTCCCTGACGCTTTTTGTCGGGCGTGTACCTGCGTTCCTACGATCATCTTTGAGCTTTCTTACTTTTGTTATACAATAGCTATGGCTAAGGAAGTCTGTATCAAAGTCATTTTTTCATAAGTATCTCCAAAGAAACAAATATTCATGAATGAGTGCAAAAGCCAATAAATGAGCATTAAATCTACGTTTCATCAAATCTTCATCATAACGGTAAAATAAAAGATACATAAGGTAAAGTATATACAGAGTCAATCTCACATATTATAACATGTTATAATGACTCACAAAACAGAAATGTTACTGCATGCAGAAACAGAAAACCATATAGTCAAGGTAAATATATATATACATATATTTGTTGGGACGCCTTTACACGACAATGAATGCCAGACTACTAGGCAAGAGACCAGTTGGAAGGCCAAAAACCAGATGGATAGATAGGATAAACAAAGACGGCTGAGCTTCATGTAGCAAACTGGAAAACAGTAGCCCAAGATAGGAAGAGGTGGAGAAGGCTGGTTCAGGCTGCCATAGATCTACAAGGTCTGCAGAGCCAACCAAAAAAAAAAAAAAAAAAAAAAAAAATATATATATATATATATATATATATATATATATATACAGTCAAGTGAGTAATATATCGATTGAAATAAATCATAACTAATTTTTAAAAAATAAATATTGTTTTTGGTTATAATAAATAACTTGCATTACAAGCGGAAGTTACGGACATGAGGTCACAGATTACAATGACCATGTTTTTGGTGATACAAGGTCCGAAAATATTAGACACATGTCTGAGGGTTCTCGCCTACGCGGCTTAGTAGCGTAGAAAAAAATCTGGTGTGTCCACTCACACGACTTTCCTACCTATTTCAGAAAAGTTTTTATATCTTTACATATGTCCATCAAGAAACAAACAAAAAATTGAATTAGATTCGTTTTCCTGAAAATTTATCAAAGAAAAGATTTGAGTACGATTTATTCGATAAACTAAAGCAGTGTAAACCGGCTTAAGGTAGTTCGGTGTTTTTGGGGGCTCTGAAACGTATTGGTCCGTCGAAAACCGCATATCGGAAATTCGACCCGATCGCAATACTTTCCTCACCTAGTAAAGCTAGGAAAGTAATAAATTAAAACATGTGTAGAAAATAGAATAAGCTGTATCATCGCTAATGCTGGTTCGATTCCGATGATTTTTTGTTCTCGTTTGGTGGTAATTCCATTATATTTCAAAAGTTTTATTATAAATTTTACCATATAATATATAATTAGCGAGTCAGGCCCCAAAACATTTTTCTTTTCTTTATAACTTTTTTTCTGATTTTTTTTCGAGGATTTAGTCCAGGTTCAAAAATTGAAAGGACAAGTTTTAGAACATTATAGGAAAGTTTTATCAAAATCGTTAGAGCTGTTTTCGCTCTACAGTCTATAGAAAAACATGTTTTTCATTTATTGTGCAGCAGCTATTGCTCATGGAGCACCCAATTTCTGTCACAGGCATCAGTAGTCAAAACCCTACTACATAAAAAAAGAAGCAATAAAATCGGTTCAATAGTTAAAGAAAATCTTGGCACAGACAGACAGACAGACCAATGGCTAAAAATGTGTTTTCCGATTCAAGGGGCTCTAAAACGTATACATCCGTCGAAAACCACATATCGGAAATTTAACCCGATCGAAATACTTTCCATACCTAGTATAGGTAGAAAAGTAAAAAAATAAATATTTAACATTATATTATATTATAGTTTTCTGCCTTCGATCTGCATATACAACAAAAACAAATGGATCACAGAAGAACAATTTAGCATATAATATTTCACCTTCTATTAATAGTTTTTATGAGATCAATCTGTGTTTTTGTATATTTGAATTCATTTAATATAATTAGAAATATTTTCCACAAAAAAACAAGTCATATATATATATATATATATTGATATATTATAAACTAGAAATCCATATCGAACAATGACAGGAAACAATACTACAATATAACGTTAAATATTTATATTTTTATTTCTCGACTCCTATGGGCCATTGGCAAAACTCGGACATGGGTCTAATATTTTTCTATCTCGAATCACCAAAAAAGGCTTCATTGAAATTGATAACTCCACATTCGTAAACTTTTATAGTTAGGGGGGAAAAGTCGTCTAGTATAATTTAGTCTTTAGTTTACTTTAAATGAGTTAAAATCTCTCAATAGTTACTATAGTTAATTATGGTTATGATGCCGGTGACGCTGCTGAGAGAGAAGCGCTGGGATCTCTTTGAGTCTCGCTTTGTCCTTCACACGTGAAGGAAAGGGCTAGACTCGGAGCTCCCTTGGATGATTGTAAATATTGTAATTAAGTATGAATGTTATTCTTTTTTTTTTATCAATTTATTTGCTTTACATATAATTTATTTAATTTGCTATGCCTCTCTCAGTCTCCATCGGACTGGTAATGCCGCCGACGCTGATGAGAGAAAAGCGCTGGGATCTCTTAGAGTCTTGCTTTGTCTTTCACACGTGGGGGAAAGGGCTGGACTCGGAGATTTCTTGCCTGATTGTAAATATTGTAATTAAGTATGAATGTTTTTCTATTTATTTATTTTACTTTTTTGTTACTTTTTTACTTATTTATTTTTTGCCTTTGTTATATAGATGTATACTTTTTTTATTATTTATTTATTTTTTTATTGTATTGTATATATGGTATGAATGTGCCTCACTCAGCTTTAGTACTCAGTGCCCTTAAGTGTGGCAAAATGTATTATTTCTCAATAAAAAGATATATATAAAAAAATTTGGTATTAATTTATGTATTTTTTTTTATTTGATTTCAAGTTGTATTTCTTTGGTTTTATAGTTTTTGCCTTTGTTATATAGATATTTTTTTTATTATATTGCATATATAGTATGAATGTGCCTCACTGAGCTTTAGTACTCAGTGCAAAATGTATTATTTCTCAATAAAAAGATCTTAAAAAAAAAAAAAAATTGTGATTATAAATTATTTTAAGGAACCATAATATTGCAGGAATTTCAGACTAGGGATACACATGAAACAAACTACAAGTATAAATAATTACAATTTTTATTTTTGCATGCACCGTTTTGTAGAATAGCAGAACAATAAAATTTCTTGGGATAGGGAGTATGAGCCATTGACTTAAGGAAAGGAGGGGGTTCGGCATTTTATTTTTTACT